ACAGGATGTTGCATTAGTTTCAGGTGTACCACAACAAGTTTTATGTTATGCTATGTTCACCTCAAGTGTAGCAACCATCTGTCACCATGCAACACTATTACAATATCGCTGGCTATATTCCTCATGCATAGCATAATACCCTCTAGCCCCATCGATGTTGTCTCAAATGGCACAATCTCATCCTGCTTTATGGGTAAGATTCCACTGTATATGTGCACCACATCTTCCTTATCCATTCATCTATCGACGGACACTTAGGTTGCTTCTGTATCTTAGCTATTGTAAATAATGCTGCAATAAACGTAAAAGTACATATATATCTTTTTGAATTAGTGTCTTCATTTAATTGGGCAAATACTCAATAGTGGAATTACTGAATCATATGATAACGTCTATTTTTAAATTTTGAGTAAACTCCATACTGTTTTCCACAGAGGCTGTATCAATTTATTTTCCTACCAAGAGGTGTGGAACCATTATTTTATTTATTTATTTTTTAAGAACCATTATTTTAAAAGAAATCCTGAAATGTAGAGGTTTTTCTTTTTTTAAAGTTTATTTGAGAGAGGCAGAGACAACGTGAGTGGGGGAAGGACAAAGACAGAGAGAGGATCCCAAGCAGGTTCTGCGCTGTCAGCATAGAGTCCAACGCGGGCTCAAACCCATAAAACCATGTGGTCATGACCTGAGCTGAAACCAAGAGTCGGACACTTAACCAAATGAGTCACCCAGGACCCTGAAATGTAGAGATTTTTTAATGTGGAGGAAAAAATGTACATTTGAAATAAATAAAATACTATACAAATCTTTGTCAATGAGTCCAAGACACTATCTTTATCCTCCCTAGCTAATAAAGAGATGTTATTTGCCTTGATAAATATCGAAATTAATCAGGATCTTTAGAAAATCTTTTGAGAAAGATGCTTTAGGTTGTTAAGAAGTTCCCTGAGTGGGGGGAGGGGGAGGGGGGAGCTTTTGTAACATATAAGTCTATGTTTAATCAATACTGCTAATTAAAAAGTTATCTTTGATTAGGGTTTTTTGAATCAAGCACTATTGACATGTTAGGCCTGGTAAATCTTTGTTTTGTTTGGGGCGGGGCTAGCGGGGGACATTTAGCAGCATCTCTGGCCTCCACTCATAAAGACGCAATACCACTCTCCCACTGCAACCACCAAATGTCTCCAGATACTGCCAAATATCCCCTGATGAAGCAAAATCTCAGCACTCCTCATTATCCTAGGGGAAAACCACTCTTAAATCCTTCATACTTCCTTTCTTCATGCTGTGATTTTAGGGATAAAGTACCTTGTCCATAATAATCTTCAACGTGATAGTCTTCTTCATCCTTCTCAATTCTAGGTCCTATTATTTTTAGTGACCTTTTCCTTATAGAGCTTACTTTCAATATTTGACTCATTTGAGTACCACTGTTTCCACATTTATTTTTAGTAAACTTTGAGAGAATTGTAGATTTACATATGGTTGTAAGAAATAGAGATCTAGGACCCCCTGGATGGTTCAGTTGGTTAAGCATCTGGCTCTTGGTGACAGCTCAGGTCATGATCTCATGGTTCATGAGTTTGAACCCTGCATTGGGGTCTGGGCTTGCAGTGTGTGTGGAGGCTGCTGGGGATTCTCTTTCTCCTTCTCTCTGCCCCTCCCGTGCTCTCTCTCTCTCCCTCAAAAACAAACATTTAAAAACAAAAGGAAAAAAAAATCTTATGTATTTTTTACCCAGTTTCCTCCAATATTAACATCTTGCAAAAGATGTATTATAGTACAATATCACATACAAGACAGACGTTGAAGTAACCCATTAATCTTACCCACATTTCCCTAGTTTTATTTGTACTCATTTTGTTTATGGTTTAGATCAGAGCAATTTTTATCACATTTGAAATTTTGTATCTAACCATGAGTCAAAAATATAGCAGTTGTACCAAAGGATCTCTCCTACTGTTTCATAACCACACATCTCACTCCCTCACGTGCCCCCAAAAGATCAATTCTCTTTTCCTTTCTTACTGTACATGGAATCACCAAAACACATATGTACAGAATCTGTACCCTTTATAATTAACAAAGTTACAAATAATGTAACAAGGTTATAATACAAATTCATAATTTAGGAAAATTTTGCCAGGTTTTAAAAAACTGAGTTATTCAAAATTAAATTGGTCACAAGTAAAAAGGCCAATCAAAATATCTTAAATCATATTTGGAAATAAAAGATGAATTTTTAAAACTGACACAATAAAACTTATTTTTAACTACTGAGTAGCAGTATTCACTTATGGTCAATGGTTCCAATTTTTAAAACTTTTCCAAATTTTATATATTTACTTGACAAACAAAATACAGTAGCCTTATATTCAATCCAGAATGTATTACACTTCACATGGCTTATAACAATTTACCTTCAACTTCATTGGAGATGGACGATGTCTCTTTTTTACTTCTATCCAAGGTTGTGAGTCCAAGTCAGGCAAACTGGTAGACAGACCTCTAGATATTGCTTGGAGATTACTTGTTTCAATATTTTTCTTTGGGTTCAGTGGATTTCCAATTCTTGGAGAATTTGGGGCAGACTCTAAAATTTTAAGTTAGTACTTAGTTAAAATAATGGTTTTCTTACTTATAAAACACTTTCTTTTTCTTGGGTTTAATTTTTTCACAAAAATATGATAAATCAAATCTCAATTATAATCTTCCCAAGGACTTTCAAACCTGAAAAGCTTGTTGGATGTATTTGAGTGAAGTCAATGAGTAATAGATAAAAAGAATGTCACCAACTCTTACAGAGATCATCATTCAAACTTCTGAATATCGAGTAACTAATTGTGACAATACAGCTACTTAGGGGTCAATTTCCTGTGCAATCTTAAAATTTATGAATTATATATATTGACATTATGGAACTTCAAATGCTACTAAGCCACAGACTAAATGTATATATTATTGAAGGCAAAATCAGTCCTTCAGTTCTGCTATAATCTATAGTAAGCCATTATTCCTACTTTTCACATTTCCTTTGCTTAATGAGGTTTAACCAAATGCAGTGTGCCCACTTAGATCATACTGAATACTGTAAACAGTAGCATGTCACATCATTAAAGTGCACTGCAGTGGCCATAAAATGTAAAACTTTTTTTTAATGTTTATTTATTTGGAGAGAGAGTGCGTGTGTGCAAACAGAGGAACTGGGGGCGGGTAGAGAGAATGCCAAGCAGGCTTCACACTATCAGTGCAGAGCCAAATGTAGGGCTTGATCTACAAACTGTGAGATCATGACTTGAACCAAAATCAAGAGTTGGATGCTAAACTGACTGATCACCTAGGTGCCCCTAAAACATTAAAAAAAAAAACTCTGTTGGAATTAAAAATGCCTTTCTCCACACTATCTTTTAATCAGAATAATTACACACTCTATAAATTCCTAATTGAGTCCTTTACAAATCTTTTTTTTTAAAGTCAAAAAACACTTGTTTTAAGTTATAATGCAATCTATACTTGTGTTATATAACATTTTAAATACTATAGTCTAAAATTCTAAACATGGTTTTAGTCCTCAAAGCCAATTACTTGGAAAATATTGCAAAGCTGAATATTACACGGAAAAAGCTAAAATAAATGAACACCAACTTTTTTTTTTTTTTTTTTTTTTACTAAATGAAAATGCAAAGGCCCATTGCAGGAGTTTGGGTTTGAGAAGAATATTCCAAGATTTTACTTTATCTACTACATGTTAGAGTTATTATCCTCTCCAAGAAAGCATAGTTAGATCCAGGATTCAAATTCCAGATTACTATATTTTTTTAAAATGAATATTCCTTCATAATGGAAAAGGCTCTAAAACTGCATTGTCTAGTACATAGCCACCAGCCAAGCCATATGAAGCTACTGAGCACCTGAAATGTGGCCAGTTCTAAAATGTGCTCAGGATAAGTGTAAGGTACACACCAGATTTCAAAGTCTTGGTACAAAAAATTTTTACAAAGGTAGAATGGATCCATGATTTTTATATTAATGATATTTAAGTAAATATTTAGGTAAAATATTTAAAATGTTGTTAAAATTAATTTCATTTGTTTTGTAGCTTTTCAGGCTATTAAATTATTAGGATCACATGTGTGGCAAACATTCTATTTCTATTGGATATTGCTACTTTACAACTTTCTTAATTAATGGCACATGTATCATTAATTGATCCACAAAGGTAGTACAAGTGAAATGCTAGATTTGGGCTGCAAGTATTAATATTAAAGTTATAAGAATGGGAAAACATTTAACAGCAGAGAATCCAATTTCTAATACTATAAGTCATCTATGTTCATGCAGTGAATAAATCCTTAAAAACAGACTAAGAACTACCACCCTAGCAACTGTGAGATTAACTAAATTACTATGCACAGTTCATGTATAAATGATTAGAACAGCACCTGGCACATGGTAGGGAAATCAGTACCTACTATTTTTAACACAGAAATTTAATCTTCAACACCTACTTAAGTTTATTATATAATTTCTAACTGCTCTCTAAGCTAGAATGTTTCTAGCACGAAATGAAGTGTTTTACTATATCCACAACACATGTGCTTATAAATAAAATAACATTAAAATAACAAAGAATTTGGGTAAGACAATAAAATTTAGATTTTCTAAAGGATGTTCATCTTACAATTACCTACACATATGCTCTATGTGATTTGTTTTCTTTTATAAAGAAAAGATCTCAAACCTTATGTGTATAAATTTTAAGGATTAACAGTAAAGCCCTCATCTTCCAAGAACAAATGAGTGAATATTACTTGGATGACTTGACATTAAACTTACAGATTAAAAAAACTGACACATACTTGGACATTTATAGGTTCTAACTTGTGAGAACATAGAAAGATGTATCTTTGCTGCCTTAATTGAAAATTGTCAACCTGACTCTCCAGAGATTAATTACCATATGTATTCCATAATATCTATCTAGTTCAACTTTTATTTTTTTAAACATGGACCACTTCACGAATTTGCATGTCATTCTCATGCAGGGGCTATGCCAATCTTCTCTGTGTCGTTCCAATTTTAGTTTTTGTGCTACCAAAGAGAGCACTAGTTTGACTTCTTTATGCACCCTGAATCTGGGTAATTATATAGATTGCTTTAAAAGGATTATACACTTTATACATGGCACATTCAGGAATACTTCTGCAACTTTTCAAAGGAAATCTCACAGCTTATTAAAAAATCAGTAGGGATCTTCCTACACATTTCTCAAAAAAACAAAAACAACATCAAAAAACCCCAAGATGGCCAGGTACCCGACACTCTCAATGTTGATGAATGAAATCCTTTCACTTAAGAGATGATAGTGTAATACTATACCCAAAGAACTGCAAAACCTAAATTTTTAAAATTAACATCTTACCATTCCCATAATCAACATTTTCTGGTGCATTGAGGTCCTCTGTTCAGTGCAAAGGTGAACTCATGTTACACAATTCAACCTCCATAGAGGGAAAAATAGAAATTTTAATTTCTTTGATGAAAAAGACCAAAACTGTTTAAATATTTTACCGTATAAATCCGTCAGAAAGTATACATCAACTGTTAGGTTTTTGAAGTTTAAAGTCGTCTCATTAGAGATAAAAAGGATACGGATAAAAGTTTCTTTACTTATAAGCACAGATAAATATTATCTACATTTCCTATTCCTATATCCATTTCAAATTTTTGGTGACATACTACTCTCTATTGAATTTAGGAAACTAAGGCTTTCCCATCAGAGGGTGATTATTAAGGTCAGAAACTGGGGATCCATGGGAAAAGGTTGAATTTACATACTTATTCCTAAGATGTCATGTGAATTAGCATAACTCTAAGAACATTCTATCTTCCTATATGCCTTCATTATCCATCCAGTTATGATGTATAATTTAAAGAACCTAAAACTTTTGACATACATAGTGATTTATTTTAGGCAAGATGTGAAATGTAAATGAGTGTACATTTAAAAAACACAAAAATGTACAAGACATTATGATTTTATTCTTGTAATTTTATTAATAATGCATAAATGGTTAAATGAACAGGCATCACCAACTTGACTAACCTATCTTAGCTACCTGTGGAAAAAGTATACTCTATTTCTATCTAACTCATCTAATGCCTGTTCATAAGCAGATTAAAAATGTCATCTTGGACCCCAGGTTTACACAATAAATTAATCTAACTTATACAATCAGACATGTCTTTTTTAAGAAAACCTAAAAATTGTGACTTTTCTTCAACTTTTAAAACATCTGCCCAAGTTGCTTGCTAGGTTTAGAGGCACAGAGGGCTGACAACCAAAGAAACACTAAATAAAAATATCTGTGAGACTGTCCATGAGTACTTTACTGATGGCAGGTCTCATATACTGGTGTATAAAAAATACATTTTGAAGAGTTTAGAAAAAATACTCTTGTTCATTTCTCAAATTTTTTATCCCTCAGTGTCCACATTAATACATCTTACAGTCCATGTGAAATATTACGACAGCATGTGAGTTGTATACTGTACACTATACTGAAGGACAAATCAAATAGCGAAAGACCTAACAATCTAGAAAATGTCACTCAAGCCTCTCTATTTCTGCTTTATTGATCTGGACACAGGTACAAAAGTCTGGGAGGAAAAGACAGAATCTTGCAATATTTCCAGAATGATAATTAACTTTCCCACCGTGAATAAAAGTAGCACATGCAGCCCAGGCTAATTACACACAAATGGTGGCTCCTATAAAAACAACAGCAGTCCTCTGGTCTGTCTTTCATCATCATCATCATCACAAAGGTGTTTATCTCCATTGTAGTGGTGGCCCAACCTCCTCCACAAGGAGTTGGGAGTAGACATTCTTGAATAGAAGTCTGGTTGCTTTCATTTCTGCAGCACGATTTGTTCCAATGTTTATAATATTTCAGTGAGTCACCTATTCCTCTGCATATTCCGATCAAATGACATCCAAGAGCATCAGTAGATCATCACCCTGACTGAAAAAAGTTTAAGCACACATATTTTTTCCCAAGAGGGAATGTCTTAAAAATGATCCAGGAAAAAAATTCTTAATATTAAAGCAGCTTCTGGAAATTCTAATATCAATTCTTTAATCTATAATCTTAATAACTTCATAACAGTACCCCAAGTCGGCTTTCGAATATAGATCATCCTGTATTGAAGCACAGGATGAAGCACACAGGTAACATTAAAGTCAAGCCCACTCTTAAGTATAAGACTTTTAAACTATTTCCATCCTACTAGACTACTCCAATCTTAGAAGAGGAAAACTGGCACAATGTATCAATAATCATTTAGTAAAACTAAGAAGATGGAAAGAAATTCCACATATGACAAGGTACACAAGAATAGAGCAGAGTTTTACCCATAATTCTTAAATCCCTATTTAATTTATGGTTCTGTGAGGGGGTAATATGAATAGAATTTACAGCATCAAAAGTCATTTAGTCATCCTTAACTTTCCTATTGAATTTAAATAAACCTTTTGATAGGATAAGTAAATTGAACCAAAGAGCCCACCATTACACTGCTTGCTCTAGAAGAAAAGCTGTTACCTGTATGTGAACAAAAAGTTTGGCCTGGTACAAACTCTGGGCAATCAATCAGTTGAGAGAAGTCTGTTTGTGGCACACTACGTGGAGGAGGGCCCGGAATTGGCCATTTTTCCGGTTCTATCTTTTTTCTCATTTTCTCATCCACAATTTCCACTTCTGTGCTATCTTTCAATGCCTATAAAAAGGTATTTTTAGCTATTAAAGAACTTTCATTCAAAACATTTCAGTTGCATATCCTATAGTTCTAATAACCTAAAAAAATTTTTAATGTGAAATTAGCAGACATTATGACAGAGTAAATGTTTCTAAAAATATCCATGAATTAACTACTTAGAACAAATTTCTAAATCTTGTGCCCCCATGATAGGTAAGTAACAGATATCCTGATAAAACATACAACAGATAATCTGGTTTTCACAACAGAGTAGGCATTTAAGGATTATTAAGTCAACTAGATGCAAAGTACTTTTATGGTAATTAAGCTTTACTGACAATTTTTTTTCTCATATTTCCTTTTATCTTACGTTAATATCACCAAATAAAATTTAGGCATTATTTTAATGACTACCACCATTAATTAAATAAGAAACACACATACACAATCCTCACAATACCCCATAAGGTACATAGATGAGGAAACTGAGGGTCAAAGAAATAAACTTCATAAAGATCATAGACGAAGTATGAGGCAATAAGAGGACTCACGTAATTTATTAGCTGTCCAGCACTAAAAGTCTTAGCCACTAGACTAAAGTGCTCTGGCAAAATAAACATGTTGTAATTTAACAGTCAAACAAAAATAGAACAAAATTTCCTCAAAATAAAAAAGATTTACTAATCTGAATTTTATCTGAAATTCAAAGGTACTCAACCTTTTAAAAATTAAATCAGAAAAAATACAAATATATAAAAACTAAACATATAAAAGTTAAAACTTGCTATATTTTAATGGAAGAACATATTATATGTGTAACTTTTTACATCTGCATGCCTTTATTATTAGTATACTACTTCCTTTTCAAGTTATATTTTCCATAACTGGACAGTACCTTAAAATTAGTATTATGAGGGGCACCTGGGTGGCTAAGTCAGTTAGGTGCCTGACTTCGGCTCAGGTCATGATCTTGCAGTTTGTGGGTTCAAGCCCCACGTAAGGTTCTGTACTGACAGCTCAGAGCTTGGAGCCTCCTTTGGATTCTGTGTCACCATCCACCCCCCCCCCCAGCCAGACCACCCCTTCACACACTGTCTCTCTCAAAAATAAACAAGCATTTAAAAAAGATAAGTAAATAAATAAAATAAATAAAATTAGTATTATGAATTACTTAAAAACAAACTCTTTTGATGGGAATCAGGATACTCTGAAAAAAATAGTCTGAAACACAGAATAAAGGAAATAAGGAAGAAGCCTATGATAAAAAGTTTCAATTGGTGATATCTATATTTTTTCCTAACATATTTTCCCAGTTTTGTCTACTGAACATTCTACAAGCAATAGCACCTTCATAGTAAACTATAGTATACTCAGCATCCAGATCCTGCAACAATATGGATGGATTTCATGAAAGAGCCAGGAGACAGAAGAATTCCATTTACACAAATGTGTACAAATAAACAGACAAATTAATCTATACTAATATAAACGGAAAAGTGGTTTGGGATGGGGCAGAGGGTTGGTGGGGGAGGACTGACTATGACTGGAAAGGCCATTAAGAAAGTTTTTAGAGTAACATGTTTTGGGGGACGGGCTGACACAATTTCAAAACTCAAACACCTAAGACCTCTGCATTTTGCAGCATGTTATTTATATCTGAATCTTAAAAAAAAAAATCCTTGAAACTTTCCTAGTGGTTTAAAATTTTCAAAACAATGTTTGGAAAAAGACCACCAATAGTATTGGTAGAATGTGGAGCAACTGAAACTTTTGATGTTGGTAGTTTTAATGGGTTCATTAATTTGGAAAAAAAGTGTTTTAGCATATATATATACACACACACACACACACACACACACATATGTGTGTATATATATATACACACACACACACACACCCAGTTACCCATCAGTTCACAAGAAAATAAGTACGTATGCCAAGCAAACAATACGTACAATTATGCTCACAACAGTATCACAGATTCAAACTGGAAAAAACCCAGGTATCTACAAACAGGAGCATGGAAAAATACATTGTGTTATATTTGCACAATGAAATACTACCCCAAAATGGATAGTCAACAACCACTACAAACCAACAACATGGATAAATCTCACAGAAATGATAACTACAAGTCAGATACAAAAGAATACACACACTTCTGATTATGTGAAGTTAAAAAAAACAAATCAGAGAGCTCTGAGAAGCAATTACCTGTGAGAGTTTAGTAGTACAGGTTAGGAGGGGGCACAAGGGAGTTTCCTGGGATGTTAAAAATGTTCTATATCTTAACCTGGTTATCAATTATACAACTATATTCATAGGGAAAAGTCATCTGTAATCCTATGA